ACTATAATTTGCTTTTTCACTTTACAAAGGCACCCAGGTCTTCGAGACATCACACCAGAACTGGTGGACCGTTCGAGAACAGTTTCCTGCGATAGTAATATCATAACTACGAGGAACTCTCTACACTGCTGGTCAGTGTTCCTTGGCATAGCAGGCACAACTGTTGTGCAGCTCTACAGTGCTGGGACAGGGAATCTTCTCCTGTCTGTTCCAAAAGGCAATGCGCCTGCAGACACTTGTCAAGTAACCTACGAAAGATACGATCCATTGGACATCTCATAATCATTTATTGGGCGGCGCCTCTATCAAGGACATGGACCCAACACGGATGTGCCCTATCCAGTACATAGGTTATGAAGGATTTAGGTATTGGGACTTCATGCTACCTGGGTTCGATGGATCAGGAACTTCAGATGGTTTTCTATCACTACCTCACTCACGATCCCCCTGTGGATGTTGCTTGATGTCCTCGTATCTCCTCTCTGTACCACAGACTCTACTCTGGAAAGCTTAGGTTCAAATTCCTGCTCTGCCATTTTAGCTTGATGACTTTCCTTACTCTGGTTTCATCTGGAAAATAACACCCCCTGGAGGAGTCATCCAGGTACTTGGCAGTGCCTGCCAGGGATATTCCTTCACTGCTGACAAGATGAAACCCATGAGGGAAAGTCTGTGTTCACGTTAGTTCCTGCTCACACAAGGTTCAGAAAATGCAAATATTCCATGACATTCGTCACCTTCAGAATGAAGCTCTGAAGAAAGCATTTGGATGGTGCACAGTTATACGAGTTATACGAGTACAGAATTCTCTAGTCCAGAAGCACCATCTGACTGAACCTTTGGGAGCAACCGTAAGATTGCACAGTTTACCCAGTAGTAAATCACACACACGAGGAAGCCAGAAATTCTCTGTGATGGGAATGGGGTGGTAGGTGGGGCCGAGGGGAGGAGGCTATTGACCTGAAAGGCTAATGGTGCCACCCCAGGCCTTTTCTATGCAGTGGTTAGGATTCAGGGGCATGATACGGTCCAGGTGTATCTGAAATCTTCGATGAGAGGGCTTTTTCTCCTAAAGGGCTTTCAATGCATTTCAAAGTCAGAGAAAGCAAACCTCTCAAAGAGAGAGAAAGCCCTGCAAGTGAAATGACTTTTAAATGAGCATCTCATTTACAAAAAGCCCATTGAGTAATAAGATCCACATCATTAACTAAAGAGCAAAATATCAGGATCACCACTCGGTCTTGTTAAAAGCACACTTTCTCCTTGGTCATTCAGGCCAGTGTTACTTGTAAACAGAAACCCTCTTCTGAGACTACACCTGGAAGAAACATATTAGCTGTGCTGTGTGGCATCCATCTGGGAGGTTTCCAGTGTTCTTGAAAGCCCACTCTATTTAATCATACTAATCAAACTCCACAAAGGCAGCAAAACAGGTTAGGAGTTTAGTTTGGAAACTAGCACAGACGCAAGGTTTGTGCATATTGGAAAACACTGGCTTTCACATGGTTTTCCTGTTTAACACTCTTCAGGATATTATTTCTCCAAAAAGGCAAACAAAACATTCAGGGGGCTTGTTTTGTTTTATATCAAGAAATGCAATACCGTAGAAGTGTATATTTGGTTTTCCGTTGCCAGAATACAATTTTGGTTCTATACTACGAACCCATGAATAATGGAGACAAAACTAGTTCTAAGTGTTGATGGCTTATACAGCTGGAGAAAAGGGAGTGACAGTAGGAATTCTGCATTTGTAAGATCTGAAATTTCAGATTACCAGCACAATCACGCTAATATTCATAACACTCGCATTTTATTAAAAGTACTAGTTCTTCCTTGATTCCCCTCATTCATATTTCATTTCCTTTTTAAAACTTTAGATTCATAACTGTAAACTTAATTTTATAATATGTTTAGAAGCAAGTTCATGAGGGTTGGCAGGAAGGTTAAATGGGAAAGTAATTACTCTTCCTTTAAGAAGTTCTGCTACTCCAGGCTCTTAAATGTATTTCACATTAGAAAAACGAATGAAGAAAATTGATTTAGCAAATATATTTCTTGAGCTTGATGACAGTGCTTTAGTGCCTGGTGTCCAAGAGGTGTTTACTTCATATAAGGATAGAAGAAAGGAAGGAATTTATATGTGTGTTTTATTTCCTTCTTACCATCAGAATGCTGGAGCATTTCTGAAGTAAGACTTCAGAATCATTTCATCTATCTGTCTCATCGAACAAATAAGGGAACTTCTGGATGTGACAGAACCCCCAAAGACACAGCCGTGAGGTTTGTTTGGGGGCCAGAAGTCTGTGGGTATCAGTCACAGAAGGCACACATTTGTCATCCCTTATAACCTTTGAAGGGCCACTTTAAAGGTTTCTCAAAGCCTAACTAACTTCCAACCTGTATTTCAGATCACTGGATAACAGAAATCTACCTTGCACCAAATATTTTTATAAAATATCGGATAGCACATGGTAGTGTAAAGGGTATAAACTTTGGAATTAAAGTTGAATTCAAACCCAGGTGCCACCATTTACTAGAGCTGAACATCACGCACATCAAAGGTTACATCTTAGAATCACAATTTTCTCATTCATGGAACGAAGACCACAATCAGAGCATTAAAGGAGCTAACATATATATGTTAAGTGCCTGACAAAGCTTTGGCATTTAGTACGTAGTCCAGTGCAATTTCTTCTCTCTTCCTTTATTTTCAAATGCTACCCTTCAAAAGAATCCCTACCACTTCTGTAAGTTTCCACAGTGATTTCCCAAGCATTACCTTACTCAAGTAGGACAGCTATTACTCCCCTGTTTCAGAAATCGGAGACTAAGCTACTTGCTCACATTCATAAGTAGCAGCACTGACAGCCAGTCTGATTTCAAGGCAGTAAAGGGTCTGTCCTTCAGGGAACTATTCCCATATATAATAAAACTTCCAGGGGAAAATTTAAAATACAAAAGGTAACCTCCTAGGGTGAAAATCAAGTTGGTTACCAGTAAAATATTCCCAGCTTCTCTATAAACACATGGATAGGAGGGAACCAAGACAATAGTTCCATTCTGACTTCAGGGACAATTTAGATAGCTATTAATTTTGCTATTATGACTGTTCTCGCTATATTTTATATGTACTGTGATGAATTATGGATAAAGCAAGAACTCACCTACTCCAAATCAATCATGAATCTGCAGGAAAAATGAGCTAGATAAATATTTGTATCTCATGGTTCCTGTTTTGTTTTAATGTATTTTGACTTTTTAAAGACTTAGACCTGCTAAATCTAAGAATCTATAGAGCCAATATCCAAAGTCTAGAAAGTCACATTTATTCATTTCAGTTGCTCCTTTAAAAAAAAGACAAACACCATAAATCACTGGGCAGTGGCATCAAAATCAACTGGACTAATCAATCAGACTAAGCCTTGAGAATTCTCATTTTCCCTTTTTGATAATCCCGTTCTCTACTTTTCCCAATTTTAAGTACAACACTATTACTCTTGAAAAAATGTAACAATTTTCTAACACAATAAAATGTTCAACAGGAAATATAAATAAATCTCATCATCCACTCTAGTTCTTTCTTATCTTATCCAAGGAAACCCTTATTGTCATGTTCTATGCCATTATTTTGCACACATTTTTCTTCACCTACACAACCTCTAACTTAAAATCAGAGCAGAAACAACAGAAAAAGTTACCGTTTGCAAAATTTAAGTTCTCCTCCTCCAAATCTTCCCGCTACCTTTTTTGTAATCAGAAAAATTGACAGCAATGATGCAAGATTTCACAAGGATGACCTTCTGAACAAATTTGTTATTACCTTGAACAAAGGGGAATACTCATACTACTTCTCACTGAATCAAATAGAATATGGCCTTCAAAAGTGTTCAGTGAATTGAAGCAATATAAAAGAAAGCAATAGACTAAAATACAGTCAGTTCTCCCCTCACCTCTTTCTCCTGGTTGGCACAAGAAGGATTCATAACTAGAAACTTCAGAATCCAGGACAATGCAATTCAGTTTCCCCTTTTGTCTTCTGCTCTGGAAACTGCAAAAAGTCAACTAACAAAACAAGACAGGTTTGTCTGATCCTTCAACATCCATCTGTTCTGAAGAAAGAACTGAAAGGCAATAGAATACCAATCTGGAACATTCTACCTCCTTAACAAAATGATCCATTGAGACTTTGAGGTAAAAATGAGCCAGGAACATAGGTCAGCCAACCTAATGAGGAGCTTGCAAGTTCAGAAGAGCTCAGAAGGAAAAAAGCTTCCAGAGAATTGGAACTATGGGTCCCTAGACATGAAGTTACTTCACAAAACATTTCAAATGTATTTGAATCTCCCATACTTGGATTGTAATGTGTGATGACATAAAAAAACAAACAAAGAAACGAATAAACAAACAAACAAAAAAACCAAAATAGGCATTGCTGAAGGGGTGAGAGCCAGGGATGATGTTTTTTTTTTTTTTTTTTTTTTTTTTACGACAGAGTCTCACTGTGTTCCCCGGCCTAGAGTGCCATGACATTAGCCTAGCTCACAGCAACCTCAAACTCCTGGGCTCAAGCGATCCTCCTGCCTCAGCCTCCTGAGTAGCTGGGACTACAGGCATGTGCCACTACGCCCAGCTAATATTTTCTATACATTTTTAGTTGTCCAGCTAATTTCTTTCTTTTTCTTTTTTTCAGTAGAGATGGGGTCTCGCTCTTGCTCTGGCTGGTCTAGGACTCCTGAGCTCAAATGATCTACCTGCCTTGGCCTCCCAGAGTGCTAGGATTACAGGTGTGAGCCACCGCGCCCGACCTAGGGATGGACTATAAGAACAATAGCACTGAGTGACAGCTCACTAGGCTGCTAAGCATACATTTAATCTACACTGGGGAACAAGGGGACCTGGTGTGGGTGGAGGGGCCCTCTTCTCTCCAGGGCTGCAGGCCGCGCTGCAGCTCACAATACTGTGCTCGGATGCCTCTCCCACCCAGAGCTGTGAGTCCTCACCTGGCCAACCTCCACTCCCTGTTGTCAAGATCCGGGCAGCTCAGGGTCTTCTTGCTCTCCATTCTAAAGACAAGAAGACATGTGAAAGCGACTCTCAGGTACTCTGAAATTTGCAGGACATCCTCATGGACTCTCGCACCCTGCTGTTACACATGTCAGGGATTCTTCATCCCGTCTGTCTGAAACTCTGTCCCCGGTGACCAACTCCCGGTGCCCTCCCTCTGCCACCCCCAGCCTCTCATCACCATCCAGCCGCTCTACTTCTATGAGGTCAGCTGTGCAGACTCAACAAGTGACATCACGCTGCATTTGCCCATCTGAGGTGACGGAAACGTGAATTAGCTTTATGTCACCATTCAACACGGTGCGCATATACCTAAACTTCACACTGTACCGCAGATGTGCGTACATCTATGACTTGTCTGTTAAAAATAATGTCAGCAAGACCGTATGAAATAACATAAGGTGCAGAAAGTGTGGCTGGACGGCCCCACATACCTGCCCTTGCCACTTCAGCTGTCCTGAGTCTCTGGCACCACCTTGTTCAGCTGTGTTCATCTGCAGATCTTTCTGGCCAGCAGGAAGCAACAGACTCTCAAGAGGAAGTTGCCGAGTCTCCTAGCAAGCCCCTTCCGGCCCTGGCCCATTTTCGCAGAAGAGGTCGAGGTCTTCTCATGTGGCTGCACAGCCTCAAGAGAGGTGTCTCCTCCCTCTTCTTCCTCATCCCTGCTGCTGCTGTAGGTGGACAAGGAAGCCACAGGACTCTGCTGGGGGACACCGGGATTCAACCACCAGCTGCCTAGAGGACTCACGGGCACTATGCCTTTCCTGGTCAGCTCCAGTGTCTTCTGCTCCTGGACCCAAACATTCTTCATCAGTTCAGGGAGGGTGGGCCTCAACTTGGCATCAACGGTGAAGAACTTCCTCAAAAGTGCTCTCAATTTTTGAGAGAAGAAACTAGGTGTCTTATACCTTCCCTGGGTGATGTTCCTTTTCAGTTCCTTCAAGTTGTCACCAGCAAATGGAACACACCCAGCTATCATATTGTACAGGACAACGCCCAAACTCCAGATGTCCACCTCCGGTCCTACATATTTCTTATGCAGGAATATTTCTGGGGCACTAAAAGCAGGAGTTCCGCCAAATTTGTATAGGTAATCCTCTGCACTGAAAGTCACGGCGAGGCTGAAGTCGGCTAGTTTAACATTCCGGTGCTCATCCAGTAGGATGTTGGCGGGCTTTAGGTCGCGGTGGACGATGTGCTTTGCATGGCAGTGTTGCACCGCGGACAGCAGCTGGCGGAATATGGGACGGGCCTCCTCCTCGCGCAGGCGCTGGTGCCTCCTTATATGCACAGAAAGGTCCCCGCCACTGGCATACTCCGTCACCAAGCACAGGGTGTCTTTACCCTCGATGACATACAGAAGCTTGAGGATATTCGGGTGATTTAGGACCCTCATGGCTTCGACCTCCACGTGGAGGCTTTCCAGGCTGCGTTGAGTCTTCTTGGACGTAATTTTCAGGGCCACCCTGGTCTCAGTGGGAGTGTATATGGCCAGCATCACCTGGCCGTGCCTGCCGGAGCCAATTCTCCTGAGGAGCCTATAATTGTCTAACTCCTCTATGGGTAGACTGGAGGCCAAGGCCTGCGCCATGGTCTCCTCTTCACTAAGTCTGCACTAACTGTGCTTACTAACTAATGAATGCTCCCAACTATACTAACTGGGTTAAAGGTACTAATAGTACTAATTAACTATGTGACCTACACTAATGATATTAATAAATAATGCTAAATATGCATGGAATACAATATTCACTACACTAATGCTGCTAACAAAAAAGACTATAGTATGATAACAAAACTAACTAACAATACTAACTATAGTATGGTAACAAAATAACAAACTACTAACTATGCTACGTTAACACAACTAACCAACAATGCTAACTATACTAACTACACTGACAATTCTCACTAACAGAGAAAAAGCAATATCACTACAGTCACTTTCCACAGGTCACCAAAAGCAGCTTCCTGGGCAACAAGGACCGAAACCCTAGGCCCAGCCAGGGCTTATATAGGTGCAGGGAATTTGGGAACAATGGCTCTTTATGAGGTCAGAGCAAGAAATGGGCCAATCATGGCTGGATAAAACCTACAGTGGTTTCTTCATTTTTTGGTCACAAGAACATTTTCCACTTTAAAGAAAACAAGTGTTTTTTGTTTACATGGTTATAGACATTGATATTTAGTTTATTAGAAATTTAAACCTGTACAATGCTTCAGGAACCTTTCCATTTACAGTTTGAAAATCTGTAATAACTTTAGGCTTTTAAAGACCTCATCATGTATATCCTTGAAATATTCCATTTCTTTTTCTTGAAATTCTGACTGGTGTCAGGGGAATGCTGCAACATGGCTGACATCATGATCCTCCTTTAAGTGACACTCCTAGGGCAGTAAGAATCATGTAAGGGCCGGCCCTGCATCTCAGGCCCCAGCCAGCCCGGCCCAGAATGAGGGAGAAAAAGTGGCAGACACCCCAGCCCAACGCTGGGCTGCAGGGCGAGCAGGGCTGACTTGGGACGGCTCCGACCCGGGCACAGTGGGAGGTTCCATGAAGGCACGGACTGGAAACCATCCTGGTTCCTGTGCTGGCCTCTGTGGCCTGGACTTGAATGAGCACTGTTGAGCAGGGCCTGGGGAGCTCCGCACACCTGGAACCTGGGTGCCAGGGTGGAGTCCCTTCCACAGCCACACCAGCGTGTCGGCGCTGTGCCGGCCCTCGGTTTCTCTTGGTCCAGAGGGATGAGATCACAGCCTTCCTGGGGCAGCATTAGGGACGAAATAGGGCTGTAGGACCGACAACCGAGGGCCCTGAGGTCGGGCCCAGCACTGAGTGTGCCACAGGATGCCTCTCCTGGACCCGACAGCAGCCCACGGTGCAGCCTCAGCTCCACCACGCTGGTCTCCTGGCCTTGCAGCTGTCAGGCTCTGGCTCGCAGGACAGCCCTTGACTGTCTACTGAGGACACTCCGGCCGCCTCTCACTTGCTCCACGCAGGCAGGGCAAGGCCCGTCACCCTCATTTCAGGAGAGGAGGCTTAGAGGGGAGCAGCCTCCACCCCCATAGGCGGACAGGCAGCAACAGCAGAGGAGGACTCTGGACCCGGGGTCTTCTGCTCTGAACGCTGCGTCCTTTCTGATGTGTGTAGGTGGTGCTGAGAACAGTCATGACCCAGCTCAGGAAATCCAAGCCCTTCTGGCGGCCACTCAAAGCCGTAGGGGCCAGGACCCTGGCATGAATCCCGGGTTGGGTTCCTGACAACCTCTGCTCCTCCGGACCGGTGCCTGCTGTGAGCTGAACGCGCAGCAGACCCGAGATGTCCACAGGTCAAAGACTCTCTGTCAGTCCATTTCACTTTCCAATCCTGGCAAACTTACCCAGAGCAGCATCGAAGCCTGGCTCCACGGTGAGAACATCACGTGCTGGGAAATCGGAGACGGCCTGCTGGAACTGCAGCTGGCAGCTCAGAAGGGACTCTGGGTGCAAGGTCTTGATGACTTCCCTCTGGGCTGGGGAGCACTCACCTAGAGAGGGGGAGGGAGTCAGAGGGTGTGACCAGGCCTGCTGGCCACCACGCCCAGGCCAAGGAGACCCCAAACCCCAGAATGAGAGCAATCCAAGAAGGCCACCTGTGCCCACGTGCCTTCCATGCAGGGGCCCAGGGCTGCCCAGAGCTTGGAGATGGAGCCACAGCTGATAAAAGCCAAGGACAAATTACAGGTCAAAGACGGTCAAAGACAGAGGAGGGGGCATTCGGAATCGTGGGGAGTTTCAGATCAGAATTTCAGCATTTGTTCTAGAGTGCGCATCCAGGGGCACGGCAGACAGGCCAGGCCCACTAATGCGTGTCTCCTGTCCCTGCCGGCAGGGGACGAAGGCACACTGACTCTGCACACCAGGAGGGCACCGGTTCTCCACTAACACACCGAGTGTCACTGGCCAACAGCAGAGTGCTGTCCCCTGGCACTGATGCAGGAAAGGAGAGGTTACCGGGAAACAAAAAGGCTGCCCCACGCATCAGAACGAGAAGAGTGGTATTTAACTCTACAAGGTGTGCAAGTGGTTTTAGAAAAACAGCCTGTATTGGCTTATTTACTTCTGGCAGCTGCTGTCCAGGGCTGTCAGGGGCAGGGGATGGGGTTGAATGTGCTATGCACGACTTGGGAGAGCAATTATAAAAATCAAAATCGGTGACTAGTCTGCTAAGTCATTAGTTTCTGGGATTAATGGTGGTAAATTGTGGCTTTCTTTGCTCTGGTGCCCTAGGGCTGAAATTGCATTTCTAGTTCCGAAAGTCAATTCCGGGAGCTGGGGTCTTTTATGATGATTCCTCTCCCTGGTTGGGCTTGTGGAGGACTCAGATTTCTAAAAGGCTGAAAGACGTGGAACAGGTGGGTTATTAAATGCTCTCGCTGGAGTTGGTGCGAGTTTGAACCGGAAAAGCTGATAGAACCCCCTAAGAAGGGCAGGAGAAGCCACCTCCCTGCTCCCTGGAGCTTCCCAGGTTCTCTAAAGACCACACGAGCCCCTCATTGTGTACCTCGCAGGGTAGAGCTTCCGTCTCCCACAGCGACAATCACTTTGGAGCCTGTGGCCTCCTGGAAGCTGGTCTGGATGGGTGGACCTGACGGGCCACGATCCTCTAAGGGACACCCACCGCTATCTGGGGAGGCAGCCAAGGCAGCTGACTGAGCGCCCACTGTGTGCTGGGGCACAATGCCACCCATTTCACAGGTGAGAACAATGAGGCTCCGAGCCCAAATGCCTTGGTGGAACCTGGCAGAACTGGGTTCTAGTGTCGGTGGGTCAGACTTCGCTGCCCGGTATTCTCACACTGAGTGAGCTGCTTCTCCCAGCAGCAGACCAGGGAGATGAATTCATTCATTGGGCTCGGCGGGCTGCGGATTTTGGCTTCTGCAACAGCCACGATTTCTTCTTTGTTTGTGATTTAGTTAATTAACCTTGCAGCAAAGAAAGAAGGATCCATTTTGCTTTACTGTCACTTGATCAGAATGTGTCCACATGAGCAAAATGTGAACTCACACAGCCCAGGTAGTGAGGGCCCCCAGGAGCCAGCCTGCCCAGATTTCCCGGCGGGTCGCCCGTGTAAGGCTGGTGGTGGGCCTCTCTCCCCTCCCTAGATCAAAAAGAAAAGGCTCACAAGACCAGACCTGCCAAGGACAACTGCCAGGCCCCCCTGAGAACAACCACACCTGGATATCCACCTGGATATGAAAGTGTCGGTTCCTGGATTCCACAAATATTGCCAGCCCCTCCTATTTCTCAATAAAGGTCACAGTGGAAAATCCCCAGCTCTTCCCGCCAAAAGTCCCCAGCCACTTCAAATAATATAAAAAGTCTTCACCCCCTTCAAACAGGCATGACGTCTCGGGCCCCATTTTCCTGGGACCCGTGAACCTCGCCTGGGAGCACTCAATAAAGTCCCATAGTATGGCCACTCTCTCTCTGTCTGTCTGCTTCTTTTGCCGCTGAAACCCTTACTCCCAGGCCTGCCCCAGACGTCCCGGCTGCAGGCCTCCCCGTGTCCCCTCTGCCGCACCCCCAGTCTCCTCTGCAGAGCCCAGTGGCGCCTGCCCTTCAGGCCCAAGGCCATCTCCTCCAGCTGGAAGGCTGCTGCCCCCTCACAGCAGGCACCAGCACTCCCTGCCATCCACAGGTCTGTTTTCACCAGGATGTGAACTCCTGGAGAGCAGGGTGGGGGTCTCCCTGCTCCCAGCGCCCCCACAGCTCCCAGGGTTGCGGCCGACACAAAGCCTCCCTGGGCCTCCCTCACCTCCGAACTGCCCCAGGGCTCCTGCTGCCAAAGCACCGCCTCCTCCCTTGGGTTACCGCCGTCCCTCCCCAGGACTGACGGGAGGCTGCACCCCACTGCCTGCCCAGCCCTGCCTCTCAAGTCCCGGGGTGTCCTTTCTCCTCCTGAACGCCAGCTGCCGTCTTCTTGCAGCTCCTCCTCCCCCTCCAAGCAGTGGCCCAAGGCCTCCCCCCTCTCCTGCCCTGCACAAGCCTGGGTGCTCCGCCCACGCCCAGGGCTCCAAAGGCCATCTCTGGGCGGGAGGCTCCACCCCATGTCCCACCCTGCCCCTGCCCGGTGGGCCCCCAGCCTCACCTGTAGAGGCCACAGCCACCTCTAACTCCCCGGGCCAGACTCCTCACCTCCTTCCCCCATGGGCCCCCACCTCTGGGCTCCCCGCCGCAGTGAAGGACCACCATCAGCCTGGCACGCCAGCCCTCCCTCCCCTCAGGCCCCACTGCCCGATGGTCACCTGCCCCACCCAGTGTTCCTAGCCAGGTCCTGTCCTCAGTCTGCTCGCTGGTTCCCCTGCAGTGACCCCCTTTCTCTCGAGCTCCACCTGACGTGGAGCAACCTTTCCAAACACACCCCTCATCTACATCGCTCCTTAAAAATAAAATCCAGGAAGTCTAGCATGGGCTTCAACCTCTTTACTGTGAGATGGCAACAGGGGCAGACAATGTCTACTGAGCATTTGCCATGTGTGAAGTACCATTCTAAGTACTTTGCACATGTTATTAATAACTCATTTAATCTTCACAATGCTACTATCTCCATTTTACAGGCAAGGTAATGGAGGCACAGAGAGGTTAATTAACTTGCCAAAGGTCACACAGCCTCATGGTGGCCAAGCTGGGATTGGGCTTATTAGACAGCCTGGCTCCAGAGCCCACACTCTTAGCCTGCACGAAACTGCCCGGAATCCAGTGCATTTCACGATCTGATCACAAAGCCAGACCCCGCTTCCCCAAACCCTCTGTTCCAGCCCTCCAGCCCCCACCCGAGGCTCTGCCCCTGAACCTCACACACCTGCCCGGGCTGTCCCCTCCCTACTCACTCTCAGGCCCGGGACAGCACAGCTTTAACGTCACAGTCACAGGGTGCATCTGTCTGCTCCCCAGAACCCACCATGCTCCCGGCGCAGGGCTGGCCCAGAGCGGGGCTCCCAACCTGGTGACGATGTCCATGGCCAGGCATGGCGGCAGCGCACCGGCACCCGGACAGGAAGCTGTGGTGCCCATCCCAGCTCTGTGACCCTAGGCCAATCATGGATCTCACTGGGCCTCAGTTTCCCCATCCATAAGACAAGGTACTTGAAATCAATGATCTCCAAAGATCTTCGCCTCTGTCGGCCAGATGATGCTGTGGATTTTTATCTATCTAAGACCTTTGCCCGAGTTATTCTTACATAAATTCCTACCTCCAATTTCTCAGCTGGAAGGTGGATATATTCACTTTAACACCTGAGAGGGAGGAGATATTACCTCACTGCTGTTGTTTTTATTGCTCCCCAAATGGGGAAAACATGGTCCTACCTTTACGCCAACAATGATGGTTTGGTTGGTCCCAAAAGGCTCTTGTGCAGTCACTTCAATTGTGGGCGTCCCCATCACAGACCCTGACACCAGGAAGCCCTTCTCATCAATGTGCACGACAGGAACCTGCTCGGGCCCATCCAGGACACGGTAGCTCAGAGAGGCCGCACCATCCCTACAGAAAGTAAAACAAACCTGTTTTCACAGACGGAGGTGGCGAGGAGCCCGGGTACGAGGCCAGAAGACCCAGCATCTGAGGTTCCCCGTGGCCCCTCCCTCTGCGAGAAGAAAGCCCAGTCTTGGCCCCGCCGTGCCTCAGCCACGTGCCGTCAGCTCTCTGCAGCCTGCTCAGTCCACCAGGGAAAAGTCATTTGGAAACCACCAGTCCCAGGGCAGCATGGCTTCTCATGCTTGGGACACAAGCACCTGCTGCAAGTGCCCAGCAGGGAAGGAGCGACCAAGAGGGGGAGTTTCTTTCCTCAGCCACGTGGCACCTTTGTTGTCAAAGACTTGTTTTCTGTGTACTGAATGGAGGCAGCCGGGGGCACCAGAGAGAGGACGGGGTTTGAGTGGACAGAAGCCAAGGCCCGGCCCAATGCTCTGTGCCAAGGGCAGTGTGCACATCATGTTCCTCTCTGGGACTGGGTGTCCTCAGGTGTGAAAAGGAAGCTCATTAGGATACGAATAAGCCACTTGCTAAGGGAGGGTTTGTAAACCACTGCTGCTGTGCTTGGGCGGGAGACAAATCACACGGTACGTTAACATCCTTTTACATATGCACAGATATTATGAACAAACATGGGGAGGAAAGGCCTCCAGCTCCCCGGCCCGGCCCCCTCACCTCCCCCTCTGGCCAAGCCCCACACGCCCTCTCCGGACAGTTCCAAGCAAGTGGCCTTGCCTCTGCCTCGACTCTCTCCCCCACCAACCCTCCGCTTCCCGAGGAGCCGCTTCCGTCCTCCTAGACCCGGCTGCTCCGTCGGCATCGCGCCGCCCCTAAATCCTCACGGGCAGCGCCCTTCTCTGGGCTCTGGCTTAAACACCGCACCTCGCTCTCTCGCAGCGCTTCTCACGCTCTCCTCCTGCAGGCGCCCGTGTATTCACCTCTGTGTTCCCGGAGCCTGGCACTTAGACTTTGGGTTGAATGACCGCGGTGTGTGTGTCACGTAATGTGTAAGTGCTCCTGTGGCCTCCACAGCCCTCCACTACGCAACTGCCATTCAAATGCAAGTCACCCTTTCGAAAGGCATGGCCTCTGAACCAACTCTAGGAATTACGTTTGCAGAGGAGCCTTAACACAGAGCTTCCCAAACGGAAGCAGCCCCATCGCCCCGGGCTGCTGTCGGAGCGCGGCTTCTCCCTGGGCAGCCATGGGGGGTGGGGGGCAGAGACCTGCATTTCCAGCCTCCTGGTGATGCTGACACTGCTGGTTCATGGACTACACTTTCGGTGGCAAAAGCTGAAAGCACAGGGGCGGCATTTGAAAAATTTAACACTTCCAAGTCAGTACTTTTGGCCATTTTCAATACTGAATTTCAGAAGCTGACATGAAAACATTTCTAGGCCACAGGGAGGAAAGACACCCATGGGCTGGGGGACTGTGGAGGAGCAGAGGAGTCCGCAGCGAAGAGGAGGACACAGAGGCCAGCCCTCTCCAAGGGCATCCCCAGCGATTCCCGTGAAGCCCCACGGCTCCTGACAGCTGCGGCACGTGCGCCGCTGGACGAAAGCACAGCGTCACAGCCTTGCTGAACTCGAGAGCTGAGCCATGCACCTGTTTGTCTGGAGCTTCATAAATGAGTTGGGTGCCATTAAGATTTGTTCTGCTTCTATTCCGGGGTTGAGCAGTAGCAGCTTGTCAAATACCTGGAAAAGAAGGCAGTTTTATTTTCTGAGTGCACTGCAGGCACGTGTAGGCCAGGTGTTTGCTTCTCCCCTAGCAGCCAGAGCCGGGGGAGCAGAGATGAGGAAGGGAGCCTCCTCACCTGCCAGGTGGCTGGCAACATGAGGGGAAGGGCTGACCTTCCCAAGAGGCCACCAGAGTGATGAGAAAGGCAGGCAGGCTCACGTCTGCACTGCGACAGGAGCTGCTCCACGGAGCCTCACGCGGGCCTCCCCTCCATTCCCAGTTAGAGAGAACCTCACCTGGCAGGACGCACCTGTGCACGGGGCAGCATGCAGAACTCCAGCGCCCAAGGCCTCACCCAGGGGTCGCTCTGCCAGGACTGAGCCTGGGGAAGGCTGCACCCACACTCTCCTTTCTCTCATGGGGATACCCTGCTCCTCACTGCCACCATCTCAGAACTACCCCTCCCACAGCCTTGGCCCTATCTGGTTCCCTGTCTAGGGAACCCTGGTTCCCACTCTTGCAGGATCCACACGGACCACACGCACGGGTGTGTCAGTGACCTCAGTGCTGCAGATGTTAAACCTTTAACAAGAGACCTGAGCCCAGCGCTCCCAGGTGCTCTGAGGCCCTCTCTGACTCCTGGAGTCCATGGTGGCAGCACTTACCTGGGAACTTCAGACCCCTTCTCTGAGATGCTCCTGATGAGCTCGTCCCCTACAAGAGCTTAGCCCTTGTCTAAGCTCCTAGGGCTGCTGGCTTCTGTGGCCTCCCAGCCTGGCTCAGGGGCAGGTGTGTGCTGGGCAGATAAAGCTTCTGGTAAGTCCAGGAGGACTCGCCTAAGGGCCTGAGTCCTGGGCCAGTGTCTAATGTCATCCAAACTGATCAGTGATTTTCTAAGAGGAAACCAGCCTGTCTCCCCTCCCTCCCAACACCTCTGTGTTCTGATTATCTATAGCAGGCTGGATTTCTTCATCTGCAAAATAGGCCTAAGCCTAATAATCATGGCCAGGTGCCATGGCTCATGCCTGTAGTGCTTTGGGAGCCCAAGGCGGGACGATCACATGAGACCAGGAATTTTAGACCAGTCTGGACAATATGATGAAACCCAGTCTCTACAAAAAAATTAAAAATTAGGTGGGCATGATGGTGCATGCCTGTAGTCTCCCAGCTACTTGGGACTACTTGAGGCTGGAGGATTGCTGAAGCCCAGGAGTTTGAGGTTGCAGCAAGCTATGACGATATCACTGCAGCAAGCTATGACGATATCACTGCAGCAAGCTAGGATGATGCCACTGCACTCTAACCCAGGCAACAGAGCCAGACCCTGCCTCTGAAAACAAAACAACTAATAATCCTTGCCAGGCCTGTTTCAAAGAGTTGTGGGATTTGTGAGACATAATGCAAGGGGTAGCACTTCCTGAACAGTGAATGAGAAACAGCCTCTGGGAGCCAGCGTGTGTTCCGGCGTCAGGTGAGGCAGGGTGGGTGCAGATACCACCTTCTGCCAGCGTGTGACTTCGAGACTGAAGCAGCCTCCCTTGCTTTGACTCAGATGCACTCACTGCACAGCAAACACATCCACAATAGGTTTCCTTCTATTTTTCTTAAAACATGTATTCTTTGTCCTCCCTCTTTAGATGGAGGCAAAGTTATGAGCTATTTCCCACTTTCCTGTTAACTATCAGCAAACCCAGAGTGCAAGCACCATGGCAAATGGCAACTGACGGTGGACATGGCAGTCAGGGAGGCGGCAGGGTGCAGTGGGGCCTATGACAAATGGAGGGCGCGGCTCTAAAGAAAGTGGAGGCTGCTTCTCCTCTCCCGCTGATCTCGCCATGGGGTAAGCGCCGTATCTCCAGGACTAGCTGCCTATTAGGCAGATAGAATCTTCCTATTTTTAAGTGTTGGCAACAAATAAAAGTTGTTTCAAAGGCCTGAGTGAGCCAAATAAAACTTATCTGTGGGCCAGATGCAGCTTCTCTAGTACCTGATATATTCAAACTCAATCTGCTGTCAGGTAGGGAAACCGAGGCAGACAGCTGCACAGTGACCCAACTGAGGTCACAGAATTTGGAAGTTGCAAAGCCCTGTCTTTGTTTCTATGGTATGCTCCAGAATTTACTTTGTGTTATTTTTAACCAGGAAGAACGTGTGTTTGCGTGCACACAGGCATGGAGGCATGTGTGCACGCATCTCTGTGTGTCCGTGTTTGTGAGTGCACCTGTGGGCAAGGTGAGGGGTTTGGCAAACGGGTGTTTCATTCTTTGAAAATATACTTCTTTGGCCCTCATTGGACATGTGGTTGAGTTGGAAATAGTTTATTCCTTCTTGGAGAGGACTTGAAACTGTTTCTGTGCTCGGCATTTAGGGGCATGCTTTTAGTCTTTCTTTGCAGCTTAGCAGGACCCAGGGCTCACAGAGTCTCAGATTAAGTGCTCTGTGGATGTCTGTTAAATAAACACATAATTAAATTAATGGTCCAGATTAGACATAATGAGCTCCAGCCTCTCTCTACCATGAAGGTACACCCCAGACCCCGAGCTCAGAATTGTTTACTATTTTTGGAACACATCAAGTTATATCTGGGGCCTCTAAGATTTTGCATATGCCACTCCTTCCACCTAGCCTGTCTGTCAACCCCTCCAGTCCTGAGACGTCACTCCTCTGGGATCCTTTGCTCAGGTCAGCCCCACCTCTGGGCTCCTGCAGCACCTTCTCCACCCCGATGCCCACCACACTGCGATGAGTTTGTCTGTCACCCTCAGCAGAGTGAAGGCTCCTTAGGGCCAGATCTCATCTCCCAGCACCCAGACCTGGCCCAGTCCTGGGGTGGCCCCAGGGAGGGCCACTGGGCTGCTGGCACTCGTTCTCCTGCTCCCACACGGCCTCTGTGCACCGGCCCTTACCTGGATCTGGATCTTGTCAGACAGCTCCTTGGCAAGGCCATGCAGTGGCCCAGCCGTGGGGCTCAGCCCCTTGACCACCAGTCCAGTCAGGCCTTAAGTTGTACTGTGATGGCAGCAGGAACGACACCTGGGAAAGACATCAAATGTGATTATAGGGAAAATGCCTGGGACGACTGCATCCCCCAAAAGGCAGAGCTGGACGGCAGCCCCAGACTCTCCCACCTCGGGTGCTTATATGGGGTCCTGGGGTAATCGGATCTGCTGAGGCAAAGCCGAATGGCGCGTGTGGACAGTGGGGCTCGTGTTTCACGGGGACAGAGCTTCGCTTGGGGAAGAGGAACAAGCGTTCTGGAGAGGGATGGTGGTGAGGATAGATACAATGTGAATAGACTAAGGCCCTGAAGTGTACACCTGAACATGGTTATGACGGTGGCTTTTATGTTCTGTGTCTTGTACTACAATAAAAACAGTGTGTGCTGGACGCCCACTGTGAGGGGCGGAGAGCCACATGACGCCGGACGACACCAGCGAGGACTGCGTGCCAGGCACCGCCCTGCGCACTCTGCACGCACACACGGCGTTCGTCCCCACAGCCCCGTGGGGGGCGCTCTCACTGCGCCGTGTCACAGGCGCCTCCTCTGCCCAGCTCCGCGTCCTGCAGGCTGACTCCCACAGCGCCCTCCCGCCCCCTTGCGCCCTGCTGGGTCTTCCCGCCAAGGAGGCGCCCGCAGGAGGCGAGCAGGGCGGAGGAGACAGAGGCTGGTGTCTATCCCCCGCTCCTGCCTGCTGGCCTGGGCGTGGGGGCAGCTGTGCTCCTCCGCCTGCGCATGGCCCTGCGGGGGCTCGGAGCCGTGCTGCTCTCGGGGCTCCGTTGTCCCCCAGACACGCGCTGCCCCTTAGTGAGGAGGAGCACGCCCCGCCGCCCCGTTCCCAGTCCCTAGGCGCTGCACCAGCCCTGCCTGTTTTCCTCAGCTCACACACACCTCTCTAACTGTCCCTACGTTAAACTCCCTTTGAGTCTTCCTCAGTTTCCCCAGAACCCCTGTAGCTCAGCTCTCTGCCCATGTGCATAGGGAAAGTCCACTAGTGTGTGCCCCAGCTTCTAGGGGCTCCTGCATATGCCAGGGACTTGGGCAGGTGTCAGTGGAGCTCTGGCAGATGCCTCCCCTGGTCTCAGCCTTCCTGTCCCAGTCCCTGCACCTGTATCCAGGTCATGATGCGGAGGGACCTGAGCTCAAAATGTCCCTGGCACCCCTTCATGCACACCTGTCCAGCCCTGACCATCTGTGAACCCCTTCCAGGGTGGGTCTCATCCAGCCTTCAAAAGTTAGGAGGTGGCATTTTCCATCTTAATAGGCCACAGGGATCAGCCACCGCTGGTCAGGGAAGATTACAAGCCCAACGGAAGCTCCCGCAGAGCTGCAGGGCATGGGCGCAGCGTCCAGGATCTCCCACTGCCTCTACGTGCGGCTGTCATAAAGGAAAACCTCAGCCAGCAGCTTTGGCATCGGAGCTGTGACGGGACACAGCAGAGCCACCGAGTCAGAAAGGAGTTAGGATTAAAATGTGCAGCTGTGTCCACCAACTCCAGCAGAATTCTGAGCCAGGAAAGACTAAGCAACAGCGACTGAGCCACAGCCATACTGACGGAGCAGCAGGACACACTGGGCCGCAGAGTTTGCAAAGCTCTTTCCCAGTGATTGTCGCATTCTATCCCCCACATCTTACATGCAGGTGCTATTCTTATCCTTGGTTTACAGATGGGGAAACGGAGGCTCCACAAGTCACCCAGACTGCGCGACGCCAGTGAGAGGCGGCTGACACTGAGCCCCGGTGTTCGGATCTCTAAAATGGGCACAGCGCTGCTGGGCTTTCCAGAGCTTTGTGAGGACAGAATGGTACCTGGAGGTGTGCAAGCCCCTGAGTGTGGTGCCAGGCACTCGGTAGGCACCCAGCCGGAGCAGCTCCCTGTCCCTTTCCCGCTCCTTTGTGCTGCCCAATTTCCCATCTCTACCCGAGTCACGCGCTCTACGCAGGTTTCTTGCTCTGATGTGCCGCTGCCCCTGCGGGCTGTCCAGTGCGCACTTCCCACTCCGTCCAGAACGAGAACACAGCAGGAAGCGGACAGGCTATTCGTCTCAGCCTGGACCCCCTAAAATGCAAGGGACCATTTTGGGCCACAGGTTCACCTCCGACTGGGATGCAACGGACTGTTCCAGTCACTCAGCCCAGCACCGAACCACCAGACTGGAGTAGCAATGCTCACCTGTGCCATGCCCTGCTATGACAGGGCAGCCACAGAGTGTGAACGGGCCCGTCAGTGGTATACAACAGGCTTTCTGACCACCTCGTCCCACTCGCCTCCCTCCCTCACCCCACCTGTCCACCCTTCCCTCCCTCCCTCTACCCATCCATCACTCCATCTATCCCTCTACCCACCTACCCACCCGTGCATCCTTCCCCTCCATCCACTCGGCCAGCCACGACCAAGACTCCCTGTGCGCTGGGCGCTGTTCCAATGCAATGGGGTACAGCGGTGAGCAAGACAGAAAAGAATCCCTGCCCCTGTGGAGCTCACGAGCACAGGGAGCAGACGAGCGACACACAAGTCACCACATCAACAAGGCGATGCCAGGCGGCCATCGGGGAAGGAAGCGAAAGGGGATGTGACTGGGTGGGGACTGTGCATGGCAGGGAACAGTTCTCTGTCTTAGAAGACGAGGACACGGGCCCGTCCACGCTACATCCCTTCCTCCTCCCCCACACTCCCAATTTTTTATGAGCTATGTTATTATTTATACAGCATCCGGGTTTAAAAACTCCCGTTCTGTTCTTAACTGCACTTCCCATTGGTTCCATATTTACATGGATTAAACGTTCAGCCTCCACCCTTGACCACAGCTTCTCCCTCCCTGGATTATTCAGTGCGATTCACCTGCCCACTGAGTGCATTTCACTTGTAGGGAGACTTTGCAAGAAGGGACCATGGGTGCCCTGTTCCCTCAGTCATCTGTCTGCGAGACAGACAGACAAATACCTGCCACATTTATGCGGGAACCACATCCAGGCTGTGTGTGCCATTCTCAGGGGACACCTCCTCCCTGCCCCCACTGGCCACCTGCACTGATCGCTGGCACTGCACGGGCAGGGCGAGGCCACCCTGACCCACCTGCCGTGCAGACCAAGTGCTCTTGGTGCCTCGATGCCTGGAGGTGTCTTGGCATTGAGGATTTTGAGCAAACGCGTCCAGAATGAGTGAGCTGTTCGACGGCTGATTCCGTTCTCCTTTCGTCTGTCCTGATGTCGCTGGATGCATCTTCTGTGTGACTGTCAGCGCCCGCCTTCAGCAACACTGCTTGTGCTCACGCGGCCGCTGTGTCCTCCTCTGAGCCACTGGGCGTCCTTCCCTTGCTTTTACCAACCCGCTCCGCTTTCAGCCGCACCCACAGTGGGTGAGTCTTTCCTTTTTGACCTTCTTTTTGTCCATTTCCGCAGTACATATTCTATTCCTCACTGTTCCTAATTCGTTTAGTAGCTCCTTGACAATACGGCTTTGATCCTCAATGTTTTCCTTAGGTCTCCAATCTCCTTGTTCATCTCATCTTGATTTTTTTAATCTTCTGAATTTTGGGCTCTTCACTTGGAGTTCTTATTAAGTTGCTCTAGAGCAGGAAACAATTATGAGGAAATTTCATTATGTTCTTTAAGGTTTCATTTGTCAAGATGGGATTCTTTCTTTTCTAACATCATCTTACAAATATTTTTAGAGAGAAAGACTGAAAAAGAGCTTTAAGTTGATCCATAGCACATTGTCAACATGCAGCCATTTTCAACCTACAAAAACAGCAATTTTATGTTTCACCCCTATTATGAACATTCAATGAAACAACTTATTCTTCGAATAAGTTATCAGCATCATGATACTTTACCCCTAAAGACTTTAGCACACACCTCCGAAGAAGAACATTGTCCTGTGTAACTGCAAGTCCATATTGGGTTCTTTGTTCGTACGTGATTCAAAATCTGTTTGTAAGTAAATGCAAAAGCAAGTGGTGTAAATAAACACAAACTACACACTGGGAGAAGACATTTGCAAACACACGTCACCAAGAAAGAATGTACATCAAGATGACATAAAGACATCTATTGGATTACAGTAAAATTAAGGAATCTTATTCCTCAAAACACCATTAATACAGTGAAAAGACAACGGAGAGAGTGGGAGAAAGTATTCACATTACATAAGGCTCACAAAGGACCTGTCTAATATATATATATATTTAAAAACCACCTACAGCTAGCTCAGAAACAAAAAGACAACCCGATAAAAAGTGAGCAGTGGTCCCCCTTATCTGTAGTCTCACTTTCCTCAGTTACCTGAGGTCAGCTATGGTGGGAAAATAGTAAATGGAAAATTCCAGAAATAAACAATTCCTAAGTTTTAAGTTGGCACCATCCTAAGTATCGTCACAAAATTTCTTACCACCCTGCTCGTCCCACACGGGATGTGGGTCACCCCTCTGTGCAGCATCTCTGTGCCACCACCATGTCACCTGCCCACTAGTCACTCGGCGGCTGGGTTCTCCCATCAGCTGCGGTGGCATCGCAGCGCCAGTGTTCCAGGAACCTTGCTTTGCTTGATAACGTTGTTATAACTGTTCTGTTTTATTATTGGTCATTGTTAATTTTGCTATGCCTAATCTGTGAACTAAACTTTATCACAGGTGTGCACGTGTAGGGCAACACATAGTGTACACACACACAGTGTACACACACACAGTGTACACATACACGGTGTATACATACATAGTGTATGTAGGGTTTGGTGCCATCGCAGTTTCAGGCATCTACTGGGGTCTTGGGACACTTCCCCCGAGGGTAAGGGGGACCTCGGTAAAGACATTTCACAAAAGAGAAAAGTCCAACAGCTGGGAGACCTATGACAAGATGTCCACGTCCTCAGTCACTGGGTGAGGGTTAGGGTGAGGGTCAGGGTTAGTGCACAGGAGGCAGGGGACGGGGCACAGACCAGAGGGGCGCGCGTGCACAGGAGGCAGGGGACGCTGGAGGGCAGTGAAATGAGCCAGCCACAACCACACGGACGAACGTGGGTCTCGCAGGGGTGTGTGGAAGAAGCCAGACACGGAGGACTAAACTCTGTCTGACTCCCTATAGACGCCGTACGGAGCCCAGTCAAGGCAGTGGTTGTGTGGGGGCGTCACTGACTGGGAGGGCACGGGGACTTTGCATTCTGGGACTTTAAATCTTCATCTCAGCGGGAGATACTTAGACACGTTCACATCCACAAGCGCGTATGAATGGGAAACTCAACAAGCGCACAGCAGGATGTGTGCCTTTTATTATACACACGCCACACCTTAATTAAGTTTGAAAATCATAGGCAAAACTTTAAAAAAACATCTTTTGTACGCATTATGTAATAAAGCAAACAAAAACAGAAGCAGGGCAGGTCACACACAAGGCCCAGAGGCGGCCACCGGCGGGTGAGGAGGGGGGCGTGGGGAGATGCAGCTCGCCGACACTGTCCCAGTGCCCGGCGTGGGCGGGGAGTGCACACCTGGGGGTGCATTTGTGTGCTGTCGTAATAAATAATAGGGCCGGCATGGACCAAGGGTTATGAGGACTCCACCCTGTACCCGAGGTCCTGGGTGGGCGAGTGGGTGGGAGAACGTGGGGGAATGTGGGCCCCAAAGCAGCCTCCCCAGCTCCTGGCACGGCTCGCGTCCTCGCTAACCACAGCTTGGCTCGACCCTAGCCTATTAGCCCAGCACCACCTGAGCTTACCGGAGGGGGCGTACATCCCAAATCAGTTTCCAAAATAATTCAGCTTTAAAATTCGGGTTTTATAAGTGGGTCGTGGTGCAGAACGTGGCAAGGACTGGGCGGGTGGGTGGCCAGATGGATGCAGCAGAACGATGAGTGGCTGGACACTACGTAGCACCTCGGCGTGGGACAGCCACTCAAGGCTTGATCAAATAGGGCAGGCTGGAGAGTGACGCGGGGGTGGGTGGGTCACATCCTCTCCACCTGACTACCTGGAGCAGACTCTGGTGCTTCCGTTGCTGCAGGGAAAAGTGGCAACTCCAAAGGGCACGCAGGGCCACAAGTGTCTTCTCCATCCCAGAACCCAGAGCTGCTCTCAGACCCTAACCTCACTGTTCACCACTCCACACCTCTGCACACACTGTTCCCTCCACCCATCCCTGTCCACCTGGTGAACTCCTATTTATCTGTAAGAACCTACACTCAGGAACCTACCCAGGCACACCTGCTTTCATCTCCCCAGAGCCAAAGCCCCTCACACACACAGCTGCCTTAGTCCCCCGCCCGTGCTTTCTTGCATGGATCCACTGACATGTCTGTTTCCCAGACCAGCTTGTGCCTGACCCACAGCCAGGGCTGGCTCAATGGCTTTGAGCAAGGGAACAAACGAAGGATTCGGAAGTGAAGCGGGTGGCTGAGCTCCCTCCACAGTCAGCCAGTCTGCTGGTGCCAGACAGCCCCACCCGCTCCGCCCTCTCTCCTGCTCCCTGCCCCTCTCCCAGGCTGCCTGCACGAACCCCACCTGGTTTCCACCTGGCTTTCTGTCCACCTCCGGGAGGCTGAGCCCTCACTGCCCTGCCCGTGGAGTGCCCGGGGGCTGCCCTAGGACGGGGAGGCCACATCTCAAGTCAGGCAGGGCAGTGGGGTCTGATCCGACCAGAGGCCGGCTCACAGTCAGTGGGGTGGGCAAAAGGCACCCAGGCCAACGACCTAAGGAGGCAGCAAGTGAACCGGCCACAGGCAGCAGCTTCCGAGGCCGGAGTGACGACTCCAGTACCCACCACCCTCCAGCTGCTTGGTGTCCTCAGTGCTGTTTGTCATCAGAGGGAGGGCTGTCGTCTCTTTGACTGAGCCCAGACCATGCAGCTGGCTCATGTTAAGGGGTTTCATACTAGCAGCCCTGCCCTTGGAGATGGAGGCACTTGGCAAAGTCCTTAGCTCTTGGGTCAGTTTCCTCATCTGTGAAATGGGTCGATGCCTGCCCCACAGGCATGCTGTGGAAATGAGATCAAAGACGGCAGCTCCCATGGCTTTCAGATCGGCTTTTAGGAGCCCACCAGGAACTCAACCGAGGGCCCAGAGATGTGAACAGAGGGCCGGCCAGAGACGCTCCCTGTCAAGGACTGGCCAGGTGCCAGACGCATCCTCTGAGTCACCCCCAAGACCTGCTGGGGGGCGCTGAGCTGGGGCCCTGTTGCTCCCACCACGGTGAGTCTGGGGCACTGACCTCGGTGTGTCCACATGCACACAGGACAACCACGGCCTGCAGCCAGGCAAGCCCGGGTCAGATCCTGGCTCCCGCTGCGTGCCCTGAGCAACCAGCCAGACCTTTCTGCGCCTCCACGTGCTCATCCGGAAAATGGGGTGCCGACAGGACAGCCAGGATGGGCACTGCCCGCCACCAGCTCTCCTCTCCTGGGCCTGCCAAGGCGCACGTTAGGGTGCCACCACTCCTGCACGCAACCCTCAGCGGTGACCTCTCTGGCCTTCCTCCCTCCACCCTGGTTCTCCTTGGTCTCTTCCCCATGTGGCATCTAGAGGTCTCCAGATCCCGATCACCTTCCTCCACCTCACCTTCCTGCGCAGAGTCCTCCAGGGCCCTATGGGAACTCCCCTCCCTTGACCTCTGCTCCTCCTCTCCACTCGCCTGCCCTTGCTCAGCCCAGCTACACCGGCCTCTCTCACCATGTCACCATCGCCCAAGGTGCCGGGCACTTGCCTGCCTCAGGGCCTTTGCACTGGCTGTGCCCCTGCACCCAGCATGCTCACAGTAGACACGCGCACAACTCGTGCCCTCGATTCCTTTAGGTCTTTGCTTTCACTCTCGATAAATTCCAGCACCACCCAACTCTGTTTTTCTCTAAGCACATTTCAATCAACTAAGTATTATCCATATTTATCTTCATTATTGTCTGTTTTTCCTCATTGAAATGTAAGCCAAAGAAGACAGGGTTTGTTGTGTGTGTTGTATTAACTGCTCAGCAACTGGATCGTGTCTGGCACATGTAGTAGAAGCTCAATAAATATTTCTTGAATGAACAAATGAATGGTGTTTGCTGAAAGGACCTTAAGTGTTGCTGCAATTCCTGGCCAGCAAGATGCAGAGGAAAACCTTGAGAAAACGGCTGTCATAGACAGGACCCAGAGGAAGGAAAACAGTGTTTATCATGACTCTGAAGGTAAATAAGCTAGCTCAGGACAGGAGCCTGGCAAGGAGCCAAAGGTCCTGATAAGGACTGCACTATGCAAAGGTCACTCCCAGCTGCCTGGCATCTGAGACTCTCATCAATTCAACAATATTTTGATGAGACGGTCAATGTACAAAAGAAGATTCCTGAAATGAGCAGCCGAGCCAAGGCAGCTTAGCCCACTCGGCGGGTAAGTTACAAACCTCCACACCCATGCCAGAATTAGAGCCAGACACGAGGCTTAACAAAGCACCTCTTTGGTGCCGAGTGCTGAGACCAATGCCCAAAGAAAGGTTTCCGACCTCACGCAGCTCGCAGTTTAATCAGCACAGCAGCACCAAACACAAACCCCAGTGCCCACTGTGGACCACATACAATTTTTTATTGTGGTAAAATACACACAACATAAAATTTACCATTTTAACCATTTTTAAGTGCACAGTGTAGTATATTACGCACATTCACATACTCACATTGTTGCACAACCATCACCACCATCCATCTCTGGCACTATTTCACCTTCCCAAACTGAAACTCTGTCCCATCAAACACTAACTCCCCACTTACCCTCCCCCAGCCCAGCCCCCCCATTCCACTCTCTCCCTCTGAAATCAACTACTCTGGGTATCTCATGCAAGTGGAATGATGCAGTACTTGTCCTTTCATGACTGGGTTATTCACTTAACACACTGTCCTCAAGGTTCATCCGTGTCGTAGCATGTGTCAGAATTTCCCTCCTTTTTAAGGCCAAATAATATTCCATTGTGTGGCTAGACGACCGCTGGTTTACCCATGCACGCACTGATGGACTCTTGGGTTGTTTCCACCTTTTCGCTATTGCGAATAATGCTGCTATGAACATGGGTGTACAAGGATCTCTGAGACCCTGCTTTTAATAATACCTCTAGGTATATACCCAGAAGTGGGATTGCTGGATCAAATGGGAAGTCTATGTGAAATTTTTGAGAAGCCACTTCCTGTTTCCACAGTGGCTGCACCATCTCACATTCTCACAGCAGCGCACTAGGGTTCCAATTTCTCTACGTCTTTGCCAACAGTCTTGTTACCTGTGTTTTTGATAGTAGTCACTCTAATGGCTGTGAGGTGGTGTCTCCTAGTAGTTTTGACTGCCATTTCCTAATGATGTTGAGCAGGGAAAGATGCTCTTTCCAGTGCTTTGCATATATGAGCTCACTGAAGCCCCAAATAACCCTAGCGGGAGAGATACCATTGTTATCCCCACTTTACAGATGTGCACACTGAGGCACAGAGGGGTTTAGTAACTTGCCAAAGGGTACAGAAGATAATACCATGAGTGGCAGACTCCACAGAGAGGACAAGGTGCCCAGAGAAGAAGCATGGCACCCAGTGGTCAGCCAATTCCTCCTTGGACATAATCACCTCACTCTGACACTGCCTTAACATGCGGCTCCATCCCAGCTGGGCTTGGGTGATGGCTGCTGAGTGGCACAGCGACACTGGGCGAGGGGCCGGAGAGCTCGCACCAAGGCTTGAACGACGCTTCGGCGATACCCTGCTATCAACACGTGTCTGCCCAAACGTACATTCACATCTATTTTCATAAAAATCCCATCCATCGCAATATTAGATAAGGAACAGTCAGCATTTGATTTCCAAAGCGCAGAACGTAAGTGCACAAGGGGGATAAATGTAATGACACTCTTAAGCAACTCTATTTTTGAAGTATCAATCGCCTCATTTTCTGGAGCGATTACTGTGCCTGGGAAAAACTCAAATGCCTGGAGCTCGGCTGCACGACAAAAGCTAAATTAAAGGGAATAAAAGGCTAGGAGTTTATTTCACTAAAAGGTAACCTAACATCCCGCTTTTCCAAGTGCCATGGTAGTCATGTCAAATGGCTTCGATAGCCGGGGCTCCCCGAGAAATAGAACCCCATTAAGGCAGGGCAGGAACAGGGGCCATCAGATGGAAGCTGCCTTCCCACCACTGGAAACAGCCATGCATGCTTGACTGGGTCCACGTCCTCCAGACACGCAATGTGACGCTCGGCCAGCAGCCCCTGCATGTCACAGGCCCCGTCTCCCTTGTCCATCTGACAGCTGTCCACTGTGCGTGCTGCCCTGGGCTTCAGCCTGGCTTCCTGCTGCTGCTCTTTGGTCTGGGTCTTGCTTTGCCCTTTCGTTTTCGGACCTAGGAGAAGTGCTCTACCCACATCTGCATGCACCACGCCGTGGTCTGCTTGTGCACTCAGCAAACAGGAACGCACGCCTGCTCCCAGGGGCTGGGCTGCCACCTCCGGAGGCACCAGGGTCCTGAGCCCACGGGTGCTCAGGCTGGGCTCGGTGCCTCTGCCCCCATCCACTCCTCCTCCTGCTTTGCTGGCCTCCAGCTGCAGACCGGCACGGAAGGGCTCCGAGCAGAGGCGGGTCCCCATCCCTCTGCAGAGAGGTGTCGGTGAGGGATCAGCGGCAAAAGCCTAAGCTTTCACCATAGCCAACACCGCGAGCCCCAGCACGAGGAGAGGCTTTCGCGTTTAGTAGAGCTAAACCATCAGTTTACACCATCCGTTTAGTAGAGCGCGAACTGATGGTAAAGCCTGCAAATGACACAGCTCCTGACAGCACCTACTCATTGTCCTCCCTCCCGCGCCCAGCGACTCAGGTCAAGGTTCCATAACCCTGACTCGTATTACCCTGTGCACGGGCAGCAGAGCCGTACACTGGAGTGGTCTCGGCCCCTCTGGCTGCAATCCTGGGTGACCGCCCCACACTAGAGATGAGGACATGGAGGCCCAGGCCTGTCCGGCTCTCCCAGGCTGCAAGTGAGCCAGCTGTGCGCCGGGCCGGGTGCAGGCCAGCACAGGTCCAAATCATGAGTCCCGCCTGCAGTTCCACAGGGCTCTGTCCATGCACAGGGCCTTCACGCCACCACATCCTGGTGAAGTTCCACACCACACAAGTTGCATTCACAGCGCTCCTCCGCTTCCCTCTCGAGGATGCAGAACACGCAGAGAGCAGATGCACCGCCAGAAACACCTGGAGCCTCCACGTCGGGCAGCTCTAGAAGCTGCTGGCATCTTACTTAAAGACTCACTTATTTAAAGAAAACAAATAAATAAAGACTCACTCACTGGTACGGAGAAGGAACCAGGAGAGGTCCTCTTCTTCCCAAACTGGCTGGGCTGCACCAGAGCTCGCAGGTGTCTGCCATCCCCACACCTCTAGGCTGGGGCAGGGGGAGGTCACTGCTTCCCTCCCCCAGAGGACACTGGGCTTCGGTGCTACAGCCTGGGGGACCCTGCGGACAGCTCTGCCTTGTGAGATGGGAGCATGTCCCTGATCCCCAGGCTGTCCAGAGGGGCCTCTCCGACCTGGAGCACCGGCATGTAGCCGAGGATGGGCTGGGTCGCCCGTACCTGGGTGCTGCGCCTGCAAGTGAAAGGTAGAATTTGTGCCTAAACTCAAACGGCTGCATGGACCCAGTTTCACTTTGCAGTTTGCTCAAGACCAAACGCTTCAACGAACAGAGGAGAAAGTCCTATACGAAGAGGCAGACAGCACGAGCACCTAAGCAATAAGAAGGGGCTCCCTCTTGGTGACTAAAAAGGCTTTACAGTGTTTTAGTGATAGATTTGCTCCCCCCAAATGGGGTGCCTGGTTTTCCAACCAGCTTCAGACCCTAAGCCAGAGGTTCCCAATCAGAGGCAATTTCCAAGCAAACCCAGGGGGCAATAGGCTGTGTCTGGAGACATTTTTTTATTGTCACAAGTGTAAAGGGGACATGCTACTGGCATGTCATGGCATTTCGATGCTGCTGAACAGCCTCCCGTGCACAGGGCAGCCCCCACAACAAAGAACTATCTGGTCCAAATGTCAATGGTGCTTAGAATGAGAAACTCTGAAACAGTGGATCTTTAGGTCAAGTGGCCTCAGGGAAGAAATCATAATAGGGGACCATTTAATCTAATAATTTAATACAATAAAATGTTTGTTTAATTGGTGCAGAGTTTCTGTTTGGGATGATGAAAAAGTTCTGGACGGTGGGGATGGCTGCAGGACAGTGTGAACATGACGAACATGGCACTGTAGCCTGTGCATTACTGTCCCATACAGCACGTGCGAATCTACTCTACTGAGTGGGCACTTACAATGGCTAAAATGGTACATTTTATGTTATGTATTTCTCACCACAATAAAAAAATCTGTGACACATGGTATATAATTACATCACATATAACTACATATTATGTATGTATAATGACATAATTATAATGATTTCATAAAGTCAGGTGTTCACCATGTGGCACCTACTGTTCTAACCCATGACACTGGTCCCATCACTGTCCCCATTTGACAGATGGGCAAAGCAGAGGCGAGCCAAGCAATTTTTCTACGGCCACCAGGCAGGGAGTGTCCAAGGGTTTGCACCTGGGCAGTCGGTGTTGGGCAGAGCCATGCTCTCCTGTGTTCCCAGGGCTCTGTTCTCCACAGAGCTGACCTCACCATCCAAGCAGCCTTTGGGACATTTCAATCCACAAAGGTCGCTGAGCTCTGTGCCAGACAGAAACCCCAGCCCTTGGGAGACCCCCACCACCTAAGGTGCGGTGGGCAGACAGAAAATGGACCAGAAACAGAAACCAAAAGGGCAAACGGTAGGGTCCCTCAGAGGCAAGTGCCATGGAGAGACACCAAGCACAGGGAGGGAAGCGGGCCTGGGGGAGGCCCACCAGGAAGGCGAGGTTCACGGAGCAGAGGAGGAGGAGCCGCCAGGGACAGGGTGCAGCGCCAGCAGCAAGCCGCCCCGACTCCTCTTCTGCTCCCCAACCCAAGAACAGGCCTGGAGCTCTGCTCAAGATCCCAGCCTGCATGCTGCATGTCACAGGCAAGTTCCTAACCTCTCCGTGCCCTTCTGTAAAATGGGGAGGATAAACCTACCTGTCCGTGCTGTCGTGAGGACGGCACGAGCCAGGTGTGGAAGCCACACCTTGCCTGGAGGCTAGCGAGGGTCAAGGAGGGCGGCACCGAATGAGTCTAATGATGGCAAGAGGGATGAGGTTACAGTCACCCAGATGCACACCTCACAGTGCTGAGACTTGGGACAAACGTCTCCAAACGTTTGCTCTCATGTGTGTGCGTTCACATATCAGCTGCCCCTGAGAAGCTCCCGAGCGGGCGTACATGAAACAGACAGAATGTTCTGGTGAGGCACAGCATTTCCAAGGACACCCCAGCTTCTCGGACCACACTGAGCACCTGCTGCCAGGCTCTCACACTTGGTAGTGCCCTCACACTCCGTCTTACACAGCGCCCTGAAAGAGTCGAGCACATTAGCGCCATCTCCCAGCAAGACCAACCCAGGCCAGCGCTTGCTGAGCCCCTTTCCTGCCCCCAGGCCTAGTGTGGTTGGGGAAACTTCAGAGAGACTCAGGGACACTTGAGACCAGCAAGTCCAGGTGGAGCTCCCCGCCCTCCCACTGGCTGAGAAGGCTGGGACATGGCGCTGCCATGGTGTGCACTTGTCTGTGTGGCTGTCCAGACCCGCGATGCACAGCAGCAAGCGTGAGCCGCCACGTAGCCATGGCCTTTGTGATAATGACGTGCCGATGCAGGCCCATCTACGGGGACAGATGTGCCATGCTAGCTCGGGCAGGGGCAGGGAACGTGCAGGGGCAAGGAGTAGACGGGAACGCTGCTCACTGCTCAGTTATTCTGCAAACCTACAACACTCTAAATATAAAGACTATTAAACAAACAACAAAATCACCTTTCTAAAAACCTAGAACTAGAGAAAACAGAGTGGGGGACTACAGGCAGTTAGGAGCAGAGCCCACACTGAGCCCATGAGTCGCAGCCCACACTGAGCCCATGAGTCGCAGCCCTCAGCCGCCTCCAACACGCCCCTCTCGTCACTGCAGCCAGAATGCACAGCGCCACCCCACCCGTCGGTGGGTCTGCTGGGCCTCGTCTCACGCTCCCCGGCCAAGACCCTCATCTGCCCCCGGCCTCAGCCCCAGCCTCCACCTTGCCGCCCTGCGGTCCAGCTCACGCCACGGCCAGATGTGATAACCTGGGTCATCAGTAGCTGCCACACTGGAAAGATGGCGGAGCAAGAGGAAAGGAAAAAATCCCTTTGGTTCCAGAAAATCTCCTGAAAAAGAGGAAGGCTTACCAAGCCCTCAAAGCCACCAGGCAAAGCAGGCACTTTTGGCAAAGAAGGAGGAAAGGAAAGGAAAAGGGTTTAAGTGACTAGAGTCGTTTCTGCGTGATCCCTGGCGGCAGCAAGGTGACAGGGTGCGTCTTGGACGACTAGAAGTGAAACCTCGTGCCTTGGAGTTGCCGGATAAACATTCCTTGGCCTTTGTCGTACACATCCAAAGGATTAATGGGGCCAGCTCACTGGTGCAAAAGACCAGCTCGAGACTTCGCCTAAAGAAAATGTCCAGTGGCATCTTTGTCAGTCACCCCCCTCCCCAGAGCCTAAAATTGCAGCGTGTGGTGGAACCTCATGTGACCTGGGGATTTCCAAATCTGAAGTCTGTCCGGGAACTCATCTTGAAACGTGGACAAGCCAAGGTCAAGAATAAGACCATCCCTCTGACAGATAACACAGTGATGGAAGGGCACCTGGGGAGGTTTGGTGTCATTTGCTTGGAAGACCTCATTCATGCAACTGCCTTCCCCGGGAAGCATTTCCAGGAGACCTCATGGTTCTTGCGTCCTTTCCAACTCTCAGTGGCCCGTCATGCAACCAAGAATAAAGTGGGCTTCCTCAAGGAGATGGGCTCACCCGGCTATCGAGGTGAACCCATCAATCAGCTCATCCGCCAGCTGAACTAGACCCAGAATATCTGAAAGCACAGTGCACTGAGAGCATGTGTTTTGGGGTTTTGGAATTGTGAAGTATCTTCAGAGAAGATTATTTTCACTCTATCTTCAAAACAAAGGGAAGGGTCAGGGAAAAGGCAGTCAGTTATGCTCATAGCAGGAACCTCTCATCACAGTCCAGTTCCAAGGAAAAATTCCAGTGTTTCCCACTTTGGCTGCTGCCACCTCTGAAATTACATGCCATGGAGAACTGAGTCCTGCTCTGTTAGATCTTCTATCCTGAGGTATTAAACACTGGTGAATGAATGACTCAAGCATGTGTATGAGAGTCCCTAAGACTCCTGCAACAGTGGTCCAAGTCCAAATGCATACTGAATTTGGGTATTCCCAGGGCTTTGTTTTGAAAAGACTTGAAATACAACTGGGAAGGAGACTGCAAAAAATAAATAAATAAATAAAATGATACCCTGGACTACATTAGCCAAGCTCCAAACTCCCCAGTGCTTCCCACAGCAGCAGGAACAAAATCCCAGCTCCTCCCACCGTCCTGCCAAGCGCTCTGCTTCCCCTCCCCCACCCTCTGCCACACAGGCCCTGGGACACGCTTTCCACCAGGGCAGGACCCGGCACCCAGTATGTGCCCAACAAATCCTTGGTGACTATATTAACAAATGGACACCCCTGCAACATGCTGGATAGATGTTTTCATCTGCATTCTATGAGGGGGGAAACCGAGGCACAGCCTGAGGTCACCAAGCCTCTGGGCAGCGTCAGGAGAGCCTGACAGCTAGCCCGTGCAAAGGACACGTGCTCCCTCTGCCATGGAAACAGCAGCTGTGAGATGGAGCTGCCGTCACAGGCAACCGCCTTTGCAGAGGCCCAGCTGCCATCAGGGAAGGGCCGCGCTGCCCTGAGGGCCTGCAGGCCTAGTGCCGGAGTGCGCACGCCGCTGCTTGCACTAAGTGCGCACTGCACTAGGCTGTCGGACTGCCTTCAAAACTGCTATTCTGGAACCATCTCCCAGGGTCCATGGGCCCCTCATGCCCCTTTTGCTCTTGCCGTCCCAGGGAGCCTCCACACGCTGCCACCTCCAGTCATCCATAAATGCAGTGAGGGCGAGCGAGCGGGGTGCCACCATTCAGCGATGCCACCCAAGGAAAGGCCAACGGGCCCACTTGTTGTAGTGCTCAGCAGGAGAAGTTTCTGCATATACAATTATTAATGACTTTATTTATATACCAATATTTAGTACTGCTTGCAATTAAGCAGATCTGCTTTCAAAATATGACTAATTAGAACAGTCGGCTGGCAGGGAGACTTCTGCAAGGAATCACATCATTCTAGGAAAAGCTGCTTTTGCCAGAGGCAAAACCAGGTGCTGGACCTCAGCAAGCAGCGTTGGTGCTCCTGGCCTGGAGGACTCATGGCAGGAAAGGGGAAAAGGGACTGGAGAGGAGGTGGAGGAGGAGGGGAGGAGGGTGGAGGGGAGGAAGTTGCAATCCTCCAGCCGGGAGGCTTAATTTGTATGATGCTAGTTAACTATGTTCTCTGGCCTGACATTTTCTGCTACTTGGAAGCCAATCAGATATGTGTGGGGCTGCCTAATTCCTAGATTGACATTTTGAGGTGAGTTGAAAGAGGGGTGCCTGTGTAGTGATGCAGAAACCTGGATCAATACAGGCTGGTGTGTGACATTTGGCATTAATTCCCGACTGGCTTCTGTCCCCACTATACTCTTACTAATTTCTGTCCAGTGAGAAGCAAGACTTTCTAATTTTTCACTCAGGGACCGCTTGTGGTCAAAACAGGTGCATCTGACAAAGGTGGCCAAAGCCACGTTCCTAGAGTACCTACACAAGTCCCGCATCTGAGGCCATCTGAGAAGCAGAGCCCCTTGCAGGTGCCAACATCAACCATCACGGCCTGACCCATGAGCCATGACCACCTGACCCTGAGCTCAGGGCCCCATTTGGGGCCAGGCACTGGGTAGGGGCTGAGGACACAGAGACAAGTGGCCCAGAGGCTGACTGGACCTGGACCCCAAGGTCCTCCAGATGAGGTGAGACCATGTGGAAAGAGACAGCCATGCTGCCCTCAGGGTCTAGCCAGAGAGGCCTCCTGGAGGAGGTGGCTGGAAGCAGAGTCTAAAGGAAGAGGAGGGGCATAGGGTCCTCTAGGCTGAGCACGCATGGAACACGACAGTTTGTGTGAAGAGCCCCAGATACTGGGCAGTGAGGCTGGGCCACCCCCAGCTTCCCACCTCTCACCCTTCACTTCAGCTGGTCTCTGCTCAAGGTCACCCCCACCAGAGGTCTTCCCTGACCATCCCCCTCAAACTGCACCTGCCA